TTAAATATATTTTGGATTTATCTTAAAATAATAAAATATTTTTGGACCCATTGTAACTACGCATGTGTAACTAGGGAGTTTTGGCAAATAATCCTTTTTTTTTTTATTAATATTTGCAAGAGAGATGTATGGTAATTTGTTTTGATAGAAATTTTTTAAGGGATTTGATTTGATTTGGCTAGGGGTATTTTTGACAAAAAAAATATTATTAATTTATTAAAATATGGAAATTTTGACTTGGATTTATACGCATAAATTATAAGATAGAGGGACCTATAGCAAATTGCCCCATATATAAATTGGGTAAAAGTAGTGGTAGAAATTTAGAAAGAGAAAAAAGGAAAAAGTCAAAATTGGAGACCAGCCATGTGAATTTGGGACCACTTAGCAAAAGATGTCATTTTCAGTGTTTGTGAAAGAAGACGAAATTAAGTTGTGGTCACGTCACGTCACGTCACCTATGGGTTTTAATCAACCAACCAACCAACCATATGCATGTGATGCATTTTGTTTCATGTTACACGTTCCATAACCTTCTTTCATCTATTATTTATAATTAGGCCCATTAAATGAAATAATTAAATGAATATGGAATTGTGTCAATTTTTATAAATATAATTGAGAAATTAACCATCATTATATAAATCCACCAAAAATATATATTTGTAAAGTTCATAGTTATGTGAATCACGTGCAGGGTGAAATACATAAAATGTAACATCAAATAAACCATCGTTATTATATATTGTTGGAGTATTTTAATTGAAAAAATAATTTTTTTGACAAAGCTGCTTTAATTCATTAAGTAATGAAAATAAGTTTAATTTCAAGCTAAGAGAAATGAAAAAAAATAAGAAATGGCCAAAAAGCTAGATATATAAAAGAACATAATTAAAAGAATTAATAGCCAAATTAAAGGATATTGCTCAAGTAACACTAGTAGAAAAATGGCTTTTTATACGACCATTAAATGTAGCAAAAGATATTAAATTCATAGTAAAAAGGCCTTTGCTAGGCATTTGCTACGAATTTGCCTATACAGGCGTGGCAAAAACTTTGCTACGGTAAATAGAGGTACCAAATTTTTTTATGTTACGGTAAATCTTAGTATTTACTACGACTTTAAAATTGTTCCGTAGTAAACCGCACATTTTATTACGGCTTTTTTACCGTAGCAAACAATTTCGTAGTAAAAAGCAAATTTTCTAATAGTGTAAAGCAGTTAGTTGCTTCCTACTTTAAAGGACATAACTCGGTGAATGCAAAATTTTAATTAAATAGTACACGTGTTTTGTTTTGAGCGGAATCCGTTTTTCTACTCTTAGCCGACCGTCCAGTCTCAATGTGCATCCTTGATCAAAATCCGTATTAAATTCAACAAATTAAACAAATGTTCGTATATATATAAATGAGATGCCAACAAAATCTCATCTATGAGACAAAAATAGTTCAAAATTAATCTACTAACATATGCTCCAAGGCCAATCTATAACTTGTGGTTCACAACTCGCTCTTATTATGTAGATATCAGTTGGTTTCCCTCCCATACCGGACACGAGCGCATGTCCATACGTTTCTTTCTATCTTATAAGCAAAGTTGATCAAACCTAGTATTTTCTTCCGATCCACGGTTGCATAATATAACATTATATACATAGTGACAGACACACACTAGGGGCCCATTTAGTTGGCAAGATAAGATTAGCCAAGATAAGATTAAATAGTCTAATGAAACTCAATGACTTTATGGGAGTTTGCGGGGTCCAACAAAAAAAACACACTAGAAGACAAGATAAGCCATGATTACATAATTTTGGACCCGACAATTTGTTGGGGATACCAAACATAAAACAAAGTCCAACTATTTAGTTAATCTCGGTTTATCTTGACAACCAAACAGGGCCTAGGAGTATTGGAAAGTCAGTGAAGGAAAAAAACAAAACCAAGTATGATTCATTGGAAAAATTAAGCTAGAATTTGAAAAAGCATATCTATTCTTTATATAA